AGCGGGCTCTCCACGCTCACCTGCGTCACTGCCCCAGTGTCTGGTGAGGCCAGCAAGAAGGGGACAGTGTAGACCTGCTCTGAGAGCACCCGCTCACTCTCGCTCCTGCAAGCAGAGAGCACAGCACGGGGATGTGGACAATATGGAGAAACTCTGGACTTGTGGGGCGGAGCCAAGGGTAGGTACTAGAGCCTTTAACCGAGCCACTTTCTGCCTCACCAGTTGCCCAAGAGTATGGGGGTCTGGGCCCACCAGTGCAAGCCTGCCCCCCTGCTGTCCTCTACCATTGCTCACCAGCTCCGGGCCAAGCTGTTCCAGACCAGCCGATGCTCTTTCAAAAGCAGTTTCTGGATCACACCCTGCAGTCTCTCATGGTAATGGCTTGGTAAGCAGTCTCTCATGGTAATGGCTGGTCAGCGCAGCTCTGGCTGGCAGCACTATGCCTAAGGACCGAGGAATGCATTAAGGTTGAAGGAGAGCCCAGCCTCCGTCCCCAGTGTGGGGCCACAAGGTCTCCTTACCTTCCAGGGCAACATAAGGCAGGCACCTCCCATCAGCTGCAGACACCAATGCTGGTAAATCATCATCAACCTGGAGCTTTGGGGCCTCCTAGAAGAGCAGGGACTGAGTGTGAACGTGGGTGGGGGCAGATGGGCTGGCAGGTGGGTCATACATGGCTTTGTGGGGATCTCTGGCAGGATGTGACCTGCTTGGTCCTAGGTATCGTGACATCAGTAGAAGATGCAGCAGGCTGCAGTCATCAGTGAGCTGCACCCAAATCAAAGGCTCTGGGCAGCAGGGAAGGGACAGTGGGGAGGAGAGAGCATCTGAGGGATAAGACTACCTGTATGCGTGCCACGACTCTGGTTTTCTTCCTGTACAGGTAGTAGAAGAGGCCGGAGAAGGCAAGGCTGGAGCCCAGACACAGCAGCTCCCCGGGTGTAATGAACGGCGCGTCCATGGTGCCAGGCTCGGGCGGCACACCTGCAAGGTGAGTGTGTTGGCTGGAGGACAGGGCAAGGCACAGGGGCAGGGATGTCCCAGCACCCCCATCCCCAGGGCAGGGAC